ATGATAAAAAGAGACTTGCTCTCTCAACATTGCTCCTCGTCTTAATTTCATTAATTTTAGGTACATGTATGTCAACATTTTCTGTCATTGCATAATGAAATAGTTCAAGTGATTCCAATGTTGACAGTTCACTCTCTTCATCTTTTTTAATATCATCAATATAAACAAATCCCTCTTGATCATTATCTAATGATCTTGTTAGCCACCATCCACTAGTATGCTCTTTCTTGATCTCAAGTTTGACAGTGATCTGCCACTAATAACTATATAAACAAAGTATAACAATAATAACATTATTACTTGTTTTGTGAATATCAGTAGAAATGGATGTTGCGTTCATTCCACAGAGTGCATTAGCCAGTGTCTTCCAGATAATAGGACCAACAGTGGTGACATTAATTATCATCAGCTTTAGTCAACCACTTGGTTAAACACTCCATCAGGCAGCGTGAAGGATTCCCTCTATGTAGGATGAAGCACACCAAGATTTAATCCAAATGCAAACCATCTTGCTTCAGGAAACTTGTAATGCCTCAAGACTTGTAAAACAAAGTTTAACTTACTAATATCTGTACACAAAATATGTATATCAGTCTGTTATAAATGATCTGACTCACCTAATGGGAAATGTGATGGTTTTGAAGCCATTTGAATCTAGTTTAAGTATGTAAAACAAATTAAAAGGAGAGGTAAAGGCTGTGAAGGCAAAATCACGCAATCACAGACCAGCCACAGTAGCACTCATTGTAGCTTCTAAAGCCAGTGGCGTCATCAAACTCTTGGTGTCATGATATAAATGCACCGTCCCACCATTAATCATTACATAATTATTTCTTAGGAACTCAATCTCAAATAATATATTAAAATATATATAATTTCTATGTCAAAGCTAAATTTTATAACTCATCATCTTCTTTAGCTAGAGACTTCTCTTTGTTCTTCTCCATTGTCTCTTTCTCTTTCATTTCCTGCTTCTTCACTTGCTCCAGCTCTTCCTCTTTCTATCTCTCCTCCTCCTCTCTCATCCCTCATGCTTCTAACAATAGACAGCAATTGATCCACTGAACTCTGCAATCCTTTCACTTCCTCAGATAATGGCTTGATCTGATACTTTACATCAGCTACAGTTGCCTTTATACATAAAAGAATAATAACAGAAAGAAATAGGATGTTGCTTACTAAAGGTTCAGTTACAAGTCTCTTTTCAATTAAAGAGCCAATAAACTTCTTCCAGACACTTGACTTGTTTGGATATATCTTTTGCTCTTGTCTAATGATGATTAGATTCTGTCTTAGTTTTTCTAAAAAATCTTCAACAACGTTTTGTGCATGTATTTTCCTAAGAATGCTCAGTGCAATTCTTAATAAAGATCTTAGAAATTCTTCCATTGGCAGTATAAACTCAACCTATTATAAGAATCATACAATACATATTATTACAGTACATGTATTGGTTCTTACTTTTAGTATTAGTCTATAAGTATCAGCTGATTTTTGTATTTCCTGAGTGTCACCAACAGCTAAACTAGTCTATACAAAAATTAGATGGTCAGTGAATGGACATTATTATAATTGCATACCAATAGATTAAGGAAGAGAATTGGCATTAGAACCACAAACACCACTAGCAATGA